TTCTGACCCCTACGAACGTGGTTGCCAACTGAATTGGTCACCAACTGAAACAAATTTTTCCGTAAGGTTCAATGTAAATAAGGTTAATCCGTTCTGACCCCTACGAACATGGTCGCCAACCGAATTGGTCGCCAACCGAATCAAATTTTCCCATGGTTCAATGTAAATAAGGTTAATCCGTTCTGAACCATACGTTTTTGGTCGCCAACCGAATTGGTCGCAAACCAAATCAAATTTTCCCATAAGGTTCAGTGTAAATAAGGTTAATCCGTTCTGAACCCTACGAATGTGGTCGCCAACCGAATTGGTCGCAAACCAAATCAAATTTTCCCATAAGGTTCAGTGTAAATAAGGTTAATCCGTTCTGAACCATACGTTTTTGTTTTTTTAACCACAAAAATATGAAACAAAGTACAGTACAGTACAGTATGAAGAGAGAGAACACTAACCTTGCTTGAGGCAACACCAAAAAGCTTCACAGCAAGTGTCTGTCTGCGACCGTGATCTCGCCTAGAGGAAGCCACAACCACGTGTCAGAGCAGGGAAGATGGCCATGGGTCATGTTCCTCACCTGATGCAGAGTTCGCGAACGGAAGCAAATTTTTGCGAACGCTGCTGTTCGTGAACAGAAGCATTCGTGAACAGAAGCATTCGTGAACCGAGGTATTACTGTATTTCAAACATTGTGTGGTGGCTTATTCAATAATTTAGACTTCAGGAAAATATTGATTTCTCTCCATGGGTTTCTATGTATGTGCAACATGCGTACATCTATAGTGAGGGGGAAATAGTGTGAAATGCAAACAAGATAAGGGATGGGAATTAGAAGACACAATGAGTTAGAATACCTGATACAAGGTAGCTGAAGCAGACCTAGTAAGTGACAGAAGTGATTAAATTATTTTCAGTCTTCATATGCCACATCTCCATATTTGACTAATTTAAGTTCACAATAGATTTAGAGATTGTAGTGGTGATAATGCTTTCTGGTTTTACTTGGAGATGAATTTATAATACAGAAGTAGTTGTCCTGATACACCCCAATTTATGCAGCAAATAGGTGGAAAGGCTGAAAACCAGAACAAACTTTCTGGATTCACAGCTATAATATGCTATACCATTATTCAATTAGAAAATGTTAGGAATAGGAACAAAAATGGTCATCAAGGCCATCATTCTGAGAAAATAGCCAGGTAGGTCACATTCACTTGCATAAAGGCCATGCTGATTGAAAAATTATGGTAACTGAAGTACAACACATATGGAAAGCACCAAACTGGAGAAGACTGAGTAAAGATATCAAGAAGTATCCATTGTTTCCTGTATAAAAATACCAAATCATGCATATTCCCTTCATTCATTCTTTTTCTCTTTCCTAGGAGTCTGGCTCTGCCTTCCTACAGTTGGGTGTCTCAATTGAACAGCAGATACAAGTGATCTTCAAAGTCTTGGAGGAATATGACTGGAGCTCCTTTGCTGTAATCACCAGCCTCTATCCAGGATACAGTATCTTCCTGGATGTAATTCGGTCCTTCACAGATGCCAGCTATTTTGGCTGGGAGATCCAAGATGTCTTGACCTTTGAGATGACACAGGATATGAGCAACTCCAAACTGCAGAAATTGCTGCGTCAGATAGATGCTCAAGTAATGATTGTCTATTGTTCACAAGAGGAGGCAGAGTTCCTTTTCCAGGTGGCAGAGCAGGCTGGTTTGATTGGCCCTGGCTATGTCTGGATTGTGCCTAGTCCAACAGTGGGGAACATGGATGTGCCACCTATCTCTTTCCCTATTGGCCTCATCAGTGTGGCCACTGAAAGCTGGAAAATGAGCCTGAGACAAAAGGTCCGGGATGGAGTAGCTATCATTGCCGTAGGAGCTGAGAGCTATTTCAAGACCCATGGCTATCTCCCCATGGTGGGCAGAGACTGCAATAGCAAAACCCCTTCTAGTGTACCAACAAACACTTTCTATAGGTCAGTATGGGTAACATTAATTAACATGATTTAAACACACTTCTGCGTGTGTATTAGAAATTAGAATTTGATTGGCAACAATGTTTCATCATGAAATATGGATATTTTCAGTTATGTGAGAGGTGGTCTAGCAGTAATCATAATAAGGATTCTTAGGTATCTATAATTTAATAACTGTAGCTTTAAAAATCATCACATTTCTCTCATCAGAATTTTTCATATCCAGATATCTGCATATTCTGTAATAAGAATCCTTCAGATTCAATAGTGAGAATTTCTGAAATGGCGAAAAGGCATGTTTATTAAATGGAAGAGTGGAGACAGTGGAGAAGAGTGCAGCCATAGCAAGAGAAGCTTAATCACTTTATGAGCAGATCAGAGAAGTTGTGTGCATTATGCGCATGTATCCTGATCCTCAAGAGCCTAAGGACACATTCTTATTTCCGAATTCTGATTGTTTCAAATCAGACTCTGGATGGGTTCAAACTTTACAACTGTTACTTTAAAAAACGTTTCCAAGAATGCCTCAAATTCTATCATTTCTTGAGTATAATAAAGACTTTGGGAAGGTACGGCATTCCTAATCATGCAGCTTATGAAGTGGACATTTTTAAATGATAAATTTTTAATCTTAAAGGAGGATTCAAGTCTGTTATTTTTGCAACTCAGAGCACTTGGCTTTGTAGGAAATAGGACACATTTGACATCAGGCCACTAAGCCACAGGAGGATCCTGGCTCCTCTATTTTCCCTTTCAAATAAGAGGAATTACGATTACTACCAAGGGAGTGAAGGAAGGTAGGAATACTAGGATGAAGCATGTTGGGAGGTCAGACCAAACTGACTGCCTTCCCACCCAACACTCCTCTCTGTTTCAGATCAGTCACTCCAGGGAACTTCATCCCCAGCAGCCTACCAAGCTACTGGAGCAAAGCGGCTTTCCATTTTCTACTATGCTACACTGATGCTCCTCTGCTAAAAAGTGGACTCAGAACATAATCACAGCACTTTGAGTCTATTTTTGCTTTAATTTTATCTCAGTTTTTTAATTTGTTCATCATCTGAAAATAAGAGCTGCATTAACTGTGTAAGAAAACAGGCCCTTCCTAAGTACACTTCAAATATAGACCACAAAAAGACAGTGACATCTGCAGCAGTTACAAAGTCTGGGAGATGTCTACTGAATAAGCAGATCAATATTTGCTGCTGTTAGTAGGCAGTGCCACCAATCACAGCCCACATGGAGACTGTGCCCTTTTTTACATGGGGCAACAAACAGAAAGATGGCAGTGCCACTGACAGCTAGTGCAGGGCAGTGGATGCTGCTGGGCTGAAATTCTTACTTCCTTGTGGTAATCGCTGAGTGGCCTATGAGGCTAGAAGTGGAGAAGCTCCCAACCTATTTGCTTCTCTGGAAATGAAGCATACAGCTGTAACTAATAAATACCTTCTCCATAGCCAGACTTGCAAAATATTATATTAAAATACTTTCTCCCATTTTGTGTTGGAGCATTGGAGAAATCAGAGATCTTATCTGGCAGCAAGAGCAGGCCTTAGAAGAAAATACCCATTTGCCATCTTACTCCTACAAAGATAAAGCCTGGATGCAAGGTCAACCTGGGGAGTGTTTGTTTTCAAAAAATGAATTGGATGTGTTATACCAAGGGGATAGAAAACATAAGATTGATGGCTTTCCTTATTCTCAATAGGCATTTGCTCAATGTGACATGGGAAAACAGAGATTTCTCCTTCAACAAAGGTGGTTACTTGGTGAGGCCCACCATGGTGGTGATTTCACTGAATCGGCATCGACTCTGGGAGATGGTAAGGTCCTCCCTCCCTCCCTCCCCCCCTCCCTCCCTTCCTGCCCAACATCTTGTGTTGAGCGCATAACCTCTTAGGACTATAGCTTCCTTGTTCTACAAATGGATCTGTCTACAGTTCAGCCCCCAGCTTTAAGGTTTCATTGCAACATCCACTAATACCTATTAGGGCTGTGCAGGCTTTGACAATGATTGAAAGAACTGCTTTGGATCTAATGCAAACCTAATTGTGATACATAAGCAGTTGAAGACAATTTGGCTTCATATCATTTGTCCACTTTTATTTTCCAATTCAATTTA